TCCTTTCCTTTCTCTCTCCTTCCCTCCCTTACTCCTTTCCTCTCCCTCCATCTCTTCCTTCCTTCCTCCTTTCCTTTCTTCCTTCTTCCCTCCCTCCCTCCTTCTCTCCTTTCCTTCCTTCCTCCTTTCCTTCCTTCCTCCTTTCCTTTCTCTCTCCTTCCCTCCCTTACTCCTTTCCTCTCCCTCCATCCCTTCCTTCCTTCCTCCTTTCCTTTCTTCCTTCTTCCCTCCCTCCCTCCTTCCCTCCTTTCCTTCCTTCCTCCTTTCCTTCCTTCCTTCCTCCTTTCCTTTCTCTCTCCTTCCCTCCCTTCCTCCTTTCCTCTCCCTCTATCCCTTCCTTCCTCCCTCCTTTCCTTTCTCCCTCCCTCCCTCCTTCCCTTCCTTTCACTCATACATGGTATATACATATTAGCATATCTGTCACTCAGTAAGCTAAAATAATAAACTTGGCACCTCGTTCCTCTGATTTGCATTCCTATCGTCTTTTCAAAGAGAGAAAATGACTCACAAAATCAAACTTAAGTCCTATCTGAAATCTTTCCAAATTACTTTCTTCCGAAAGGCACCGTATAGTTTTGAGACGGGGGGAGAAAAAAAAGTTAAATCAAGAACAAGGCCATTTATCTTTAGAATTCATAGGGGGGGGGGACTAAAAGCAGTCCAAACCCATATAAATATGACTGCTTAAAGTAGACAAAGGCGTCCGACAGCTGAAACACGTTTTATAAGGACAGACAAATCAGATGTTTGGTTTTTTGTTTTTTTTTCAGCATTTAAGTTGCCTCCAATTTCTTTTGTCAGCCTGCAATTGAAAACAAATGAAGATTTAAATAGAAAATGTACAGGGACTTTTACACAGTAAATTTTGCATGTATACATATTTTATGCCTTTTCTACCTATCTTTCCCGAAACATGATTCTAGGCATCTTTTGGGTTGAGAACTCCACGATGGACTTTCCCTAAAGTATACTGTTGAAAAACCTTAAAGTTCCAGTTAGCATCCTATTTTTAAAAAAAAAAAATGCATCCCAAGTCAATTTCTTCTCTATCTTTAGTCTCTCCTCACCAGCATGATGATACAACAAGGTGTGTGAAGAAAACCTTAAGGCTTCGTTCATATAAGAGGGGATTGTAGTCGCGTGCTGTTTTCCAGTATTTTAAAGCTGTATAGAAAACAATTAGCATCTTAACTGATTAGTCAATGTTTATTTATTGCCGTAAACCATAATCGTGTGTAACAGACAAAAACAACAAATATATGGCACAACTGAAAAAAAAAAAAATGAAAGAAGGAAAGCATAGCAAAGATGTTTAGAGGGCTGGAGGCTATACGAAGAACGGTCGCAGGAACTGGGTACGTCTAGTGAAAAGAAGGACTAGAGGAGACGTGATATCAGTTTTCCAATATTTGAGGGGTTGCCCTAATGTAGTAAAATGAACAATTATTAGAATAATGATTTGTCTGCATAACTAGAATAATGATTTGTCTGCATAATTGCTAGAACAATGATGTAATGCATAATCACTGGGAAAATTCACTGGGAAAGTTCTGTGTCAGTAATATGTGGCTAACCAAATGCGCATTGCACATGGATACTTTGTATGTAGCAAAACCTTCCATTGTATGCCCGTGAGAAACGATCCAAATGTATTACAGTGTATTACCATGTGTAGTCTCTTTGTTCCTGAAAGAAGGATAGTATAAAACTGAAGTTTAATCCCGCCCTCCTTGTTCAGAATTGCATGTCTCCATATGCCTCTGAACCTGCGCAAATAAACCTCTCTGCTAAACCCCTCTGGAATTCGTAAGAGTTCTTTCGTTTTCCACAAGAGCCCAACCTACAGTAGTGGCCAAAATTGTGGAAACCTTTTGGGGGAAAGTGTGTTGAAGTTTGATGGCTAATAACACCACTTTTTTGGGGAGTAGTACCATAACATTATATATCAATGGAAAGATAATTTAATCCAGAATGTAATGCAACAAAGTTTGTTCAGTTATCTGTACTGTATTCTATGAAAAGGTATAGCCAAATAACCAGAAAAAGGAAACACAACTTGTTTAGGTTGATCTCAGGTAGCTTTCCTTCATCTGATGGTAGCCAATGAGCATGAGTGTTTAGAGAGCCAATTGGGTGTCATCCTGTTTTGGCCATGAGCCAATCAGATCACAGTAGAATCCAGTCATTGATGTCACGTATTGAAGCCGAGAGGAGGACATTTGTCAGTGTGTTGTGTGATGGCTATCAAGTTGGTTGGGTTTTTTTGTGTTCTTTCATTTAGTGAGCTTGTAAAAGGTAATAAAATTAAAGTCATGGTGCAGAGAGTTGACTGGTTGCCCAGAAAGCGATGTAAAATAGTATTTATTAAGTGAACAAGGGCTGCAGTTATAAAGAAATGAGAAGAAAAATGGGTGGAAACTGAACCAAAGGTGGCGTTTCTACGGTACACTTTTCCCCAAAAGGTTTCCACAATTTTGGCCACTACTGTATTTTCCAAAGCACCAGAAGGCAGGACAAGAAACAACGGATGGAAAATAATGGGAGGAGAAAAGCAACTTAGAACTAAAAAGCCAGCGGAACCACTTGCCTCCAGAAGTCGTGGGTGGCTCCATCATTGGAGGCTTGTAAGAAGAGACCGGACGGTTCCACTTGTCTGGAACGGTATCGGGTCTCCAGCCTGAGCAGGGGGTTGGATAGAAGACCTCCAAGGTCCCTTCCAACTTTTGTTATTCTCTTAAAGGGGCAGATGTTTTTTTTTTAAGTTTTTATTGAATACAAGGAGAAAAAAGAAAAAGGTTAAAAACATCGAACATGGTACATCGTCTTTGACATACATCTCCGTCTTGACAGTCCATACTATACATTTAAATATATATGATATATCTATATACAGCTGTACATTCCTGGTATGTACCTCTACTTATGTTTCTTCTGTTGGCCCCCTTCTTTTTTCCCTCCATTTATAGAATTTACTCCAGATTCGATAACATTCTGTTTCTTCCTGGTTTTTTTAGTTCTTTAGTTATCTTGTCTAGTTCTGCGCAATACATAATTTTCCTTATGAGTGCTTCCCCACTCGGTGCTTCCGTTTGCTTTCCACTTTTGAGCAAACAGGATCCTTGCCGCCGTTACCACGCCGTGTCTGATTAGATCTGTGTCCCCTTTATTTACATTTTTTCCTAATATTCCTAATAATAACGTCTCAGGTTTATATTGGATGCTCTCTAGTCGTTTCTATTATCCATTCCCAGACCATAAGCCAATACACCTGTGCTTCTCTACACGTCCACCCTACATGAAAACATGTGCCCTTAAAGGGGCAGAAGATTTGACGACCTGTTGTGTTGATGTTTACAGGACTGTGAACTTCGACATCACCAACTACTTGTATGACTTTTTGTGAAGACCCCGTGATGGCGACCGAGGCGAACCCCGCCGCTGTACCCCCATTGTTTAACCATCCCGGAAGGGAAGACGGCCGGTTCGCAGGGATTTATCCAAAGCAGGTGCCGACTCAGCGTGGAACAAGAAGAAAACCCTCGAGTTGGTCTGGATGGGTCTGTGCAGGGGAGGCTTTACCCGACGCCCTGGCGTATTTGGAACAAACGTGTTAATTACAAACAGCAGGGACCAAGCCCAATCTGTTCCCCCTCTTAATTATTTCATCTCAGCATCGAGATTGCCTGAAACCCATTTGTGCTGCGAGGAAGTGTCCCCCGCGCTTTGAACGTGGCGGCAGGCTCCTACGCCCAGGCTTTTCACTTCCTCTCCAGGGGGGGGGGTTGCATTTGTCTGCCACAGCATCATTTAAAGGAGTTTGGAATACCACACTCAATAAATACACAGTCAACCTGGTGGATGCTTTCCTTTCCTTTCTAGATCTTAGCCTAGTGACCGTGCCTTATTTTCTTTTAGATAGATAAATTGAGAGATAGAGAGTTAGATAGTTAGATAGATAGGTAGGTAGGTAGGTAGGTAGGTAGGTAGGTAGGTAGGATGGATAGGTAGGTAGGTAGGTAGGTAGGTAGGATGGATGGATGGATGGATAGATAGATAGATAGATAGATAGATAGATAGATAGATAGATAGATAGATAGATAGATAGATAGATGGGTAGGTAGGTAGGTAGATAGATAGATAGATAGATAGATAGATAGATAGATAGATAGATAGATGATAGAGATAGATAGATAGATAGATAGATAGATAGATAGATAGATAGATAGATAGATAGATAGATAGATAGATAGATAGATAGATAGATAGATAGATAGATAGATAGATAGATAGATAGATAGATAGATAGATAGATAGATAGATGAGAGATGGACAGACGGACACAGATATAATAGATGAGATACTGTAGACATAATATAGATAATGATATAGATAATAATAATGATGATGATGATGATGATGAGATATTGTAAACAGACTGATGATAGATTAATCTCCCAGTGATGAATATCTAAATGATCCATTTACCTGAACAGGCATAGACGTGGCTTTTTTTTTGTTTTCGTTGTTATTTTCTTGTAACCGCTTTTGGACTCTTTTTTTTAAATTGGGGAGTGCATCTTGAAATGAAAATAAAATTGCACGGTTTGTCATTTGATTCATACAGAAAACACGAATGCAGATGGCCATTATCTCACGCCCAAAAGTGTTTCATAGAAACTTCACATACAAGAAGGGGTTTTTTTATGTTTATGGAACAGAGGTACACATAATAATTGATTCGGAAATAATAAAGATAATAGAAAAGCAACCAGTATTTTCCCCCCCTGCAAAAAAAAAGGCCAATGTTACACAGACTCCATGTTCCCACTGCTTAAGCTGCTTTTCTTCCTACTAACTTCTATTTGCATTCTTCGAAATAACTTAGGGAGCGGCTGCAATGGGGCTAAAGAGACTCTTGCTAGGGAGACTGATCCCTAAAATGAAGGCATCCGGGATATAAAATGACACGTAATTGCTCATACTCCAGACTTAATTAAATCTGTGACAACTCGGCAATAAAGTTACAGTGCCAACAGAGTCTCTTCAGATTTTAAACTGTCATATTTTGTTTTTATTATATATTCACAAAGGCAACAGGCTCGAAAGAATAATGGTTACCATTAAAAATAGCGGTCCTTAACTTACGGGAAATGATGACTATGAAGAGAAGGACGAGGGGGGACATGATAGCAGTCTTCCAATCTCTCAGGGGCTGCCCCAAAGAAGAGGGAGTCAAGCTATTCTCCAAAGCCCCTGAAGGCAGGACAAGGAGCAACGGATGGAAACTTTTTAAAGTTTTTAAGAAGAGACTGGACATCCATTTGTCTGAAATGGCATAGGGTTTCCTGCCTGAGCAGGGGGTTGGACTAGATGACCTCCAAGGTCCCTTCCAACTCTTGTTCTATCTCTCTCCTGGCATGCCAGGAGATACCATCTCTCCTCAGTCATGTTCTTGAGGTCTTGCCTCCCAGAAGCCAACCTTACAGCTCCTGGTCCCTCCAAATTGCTTCTAAAGTTCAGCCTTAACAGACAAGACGAACAGCAACACAAACTGGAGTTCATTTCATTTCTTCGATCAAGTGAACTCAAGTTCCTCCTTCAGAAGACCGGGTGGAGAACGTGGATCGTGCTCTTCAAATATGTAAAAGGCTGTAGCACGGGAGAAGGTCAACCGGGTGTCCATCATTCCAGCAGAATGGAATAATGTGTTTAATTTACAAGAAAAAAAATGTGGCAACTGAAGGCTCAATTTAAAAAAAACAACTTCCTAGCAACAGGATCAGTTCAAGAGGGACCCAATTACTTCGGACGCAGGACATTCCCTCGCAGTGGATGTACATCTGTGTTGAGTTGGGAGTTGGGTTCGGTGGCCTCCGTGCCCCCTTTCCAATTCTACAACTGTTTAAGATTCAAAATTACTTCTTTTCTCTCGTACTTTTAGGAGGCTAGTATCAGTTGGCCAACATGGCCTCTTCCAACTTAACTCCATCAGCGGAAAGTTGCAGTCGCATTCACCGATCTTTCAATCTTTTAACAATAAGGATCCCTTCTCGGTTCTAAATTGTTAAGACGCACATTTTTTAAATGGCGGGGATGAATAGCGGGGTTTTGTATGGGGTATTTTTAGAGCAGGCCTGTTATTTAATTTCATTTTAGAACAGAAATTTGTGTATATTTATCGTGGTTTTTATTATCGCCTGTTCACCGCCCTGAGTCCCGTAAGGGAGATAGGGCGGTATATAAATTCAATAAATAATAACAATAATAATAATAATAATAATAATAATAATAATGAATAGAATAGAACCGGAAGGGACCTTGGAGGTCTTCTAGTCCAGCCCCCCGCTCAAGCAGGAGAACCTACTACACCATCTCAGACAGGTGATTGTCTAGTCTCTTCTTGAAAACCTCCAGTGATGGAGCGCCCACGATCTCTGGTGGCAAGCTGTTCCACTGGTTGATTGTCCTCAGTGTCAGGAAGTTTCTCCTTAATTCCAGGTTGTTTCTCTCTTGGGTCAGTTTCCAACCATTGTTTCTCGTCCTGCCCTCTGGTGCTTTGGAGAATAGCTTGACTGCCTCTTCTTTGGGGCAGCCCCTGAGATATTGGGGCACTGCTATCATGTCCCCCCTCGTCCTTCTCTTCATTAAACTGGACATCCCCAATTCCAGCCACCGTTCCTTATGTGTTTTAGCCTCCAGTCCCCTGATCCTCTTTGTTGCTCTTTTCTGCACTCTTTCCAGAGTAAGAGTAAGATTAACAAACTTTGGACCAGTTGCTGTGATTTAACCAATTTTAGAGATACGTCTTCCGATCTTGCACTACTCCTTTGAGTTTCTCTATGCTCAGCTTTGATGGGGTCCAATCTCCGTGTCCTTTGACGGCCTGATTTCCTTTTATTGCTAATTCTTCCAAACCTAATTGCTTTCTCCAGTGAATTTCCCCACACGACACGGCCGAAATAAGTGAGATACAGTTTTGTGATTTTATTTCTTATTCTCATCCATAATTATGACTTCCGATGCAACTGGGGTTCAGTTCTGCTTCGGTCGGCTTTCTAATCTTCTTCAAAACATTAATAAGTAATTTTGTTCACACCCCTTGTAAGTCAGATCTTTTATTATTTCTGGTCGAAAACCAGCTGAATGGGGAGTTTGCAGTGTATTCCCAAGAGACACAGCAGGTCCATCTTGATATATAACTGGAGCACACACAAAATGGGAATAGCACAACTCAACCATAATACCTTTATAAATCCGGGAAATTCACCCTATAAACAACTGTCTGACGAGGTTTGATAAGTCAGAACCGCAGTGATCATTGCCTTCCCGTCTTCGTTGAGTAACTGTCTCTCTGATTCACGCATAGGAGGAGAAATAACCCCATTATCAATCATCAGAAGATAAATAAGCCACAGCAGGCATTCATATGGCTCGCAGTGATATGCGGGCGCTTATATTGGCAGGGACGGTGGCACCCAATTCATAATCCTGGCTTAAATGGCCGTTAAGTTAATAGAGAGCCAGATAAAAGGAAGGTTACGCTAGACGCCGCTATTGTGTCTGTAGCTGCAGAGAATCAAAGTCGTTTTTCAGATCAATTGGCATTTTTTTTAAAAAAAAATTAAATAAAATTATCCTATTCCAAAGTTCAAAACGCAAAACCCGGGAGAGGGAAAAAATAAATAAATAAATAAAATTATCCTATTCCAAAGTTCAAAATGCAAAGCCCAAGAGAGAGAGAAAAATAAATAAATAAAATTACGTATTCTATTCCAAAGTTCAAAACGCAAAACCCAAAGAGGGAGAAAAAATAAATAAATAAAATTATTCTATTCCAAAGTTTAAAATGCAAAACCTGAGAGAGAGAGAGAGAGAAAATGAACAGAGACAAAACGGGACCAGACAAAAACATTTTTTAAAAATATGAATTTTTAAAAAAGACCACACATATTATCCCCTTCCTCCCCCCCCGCCCCAGCTGAACACTTGACGGGTCTATTGCAGCAATAATAGCTGCCCACACACACACACACACCTTTGCAAAACAGGCTTTACAAAATTGACAAGCTTCTGCAGAGGTACAGGTGGGTCCTCGAATTGCAACAGTCCGTTTGGGGACCGTTTCAAAGTTACGACGGCACTTGAAAAAAAAAAAAGGGATTTCTCGCACTTAAGACCGTCGTAGCATCCCCGTGGTCACGTGATTGACATTCGGATGCTTGACGGCCGACTCACATTGACGACGGTTAATTTCCTCAAAAGGAAGGGAAAGATTAATATGGAAAGAAAGAAGTCCTTAACCTATAATTGTATATGTGTTCAACTTTGCAATACTTTGTTGTGCCTTTATGTTGAACCAGCTGCCCATTGTTATTATTAGATAACCCTCATATTCCGCCATTTTGAGGCAATTGAAGTATTAATAGCACTTTACAAGGCCTTGGTAAGGCCACACTTGGAATACTGCATCCAGTTTTGGTCACCACGATGTAAAAAAGACGCTGAGACTCTAGAAAGAGTGCAGAGAAGAGCAACAAAGATGATTAGGGGACTGGAGGCTAAAACATATAAGGAACGGTTGCTGGAATTGGGTATGTCTAGTTTAACGAAGAGAAGGACGAGGGGGGACATGATAGCAGCGTTCCAGTATCTCAGGGGCTGCCCCAAAGAAGAGGGAGTCAAGCTATTCTCCAAAGCACCTGAAGGCAGGACAAGAAGCAACGGATGGAAACTCATCAAGGAGAGAAGCAACCTAGAACTAAGGAGAAACTTCCTGACAGTTGGAACAATTAACCAGTGGAACAACCTGCCTCCAGAAGCGGTGAATGCTCCAACACTGGAAGTTTTAAAGAAGA